TCCCTTGGTCGGGTCTGCTCCGAGGGGAACGAGTTCAAAATCACCGTCCGGAATAGGTCGGAGTGGGATTTGCTCGCTGTTGGATGGCTCGTCTTGGTCAAAGCGAGCGTCGAGGGCTATGGAGTCGACCTTTGGTGGAGCCTTCGGGGCTTCTTCCTCGGGGGATGCTCTGTCGGGCTCCTGCTTTGTCCTCTTGGTGGGTCTGGTCCCCACGTCAACGGTATCCCGTCCCTTTGAAGCGGCGTTGAAGCACCTGCGGGCAGCGGCGAGGTCTCCCTGGATGGTGGCTACCCTTGCCCTTTTGGTATAGAACTTCATTTTTAGATGGACAGTTGAGGGCACCGCTGTCAGCTCTGCCAATGTCGGCCTCCCCAAGATGCAATTATATAGGGACGGGCAATCAATGACGAGGAAGCGGACCTTCACCTGTCTTGTAGCCATTCCTTCTCCGAACGTCACCAGGAGCTCGACATAACCCCAAGGTTTGGAAGTCGAGCCGTTGAAGCCTTGAAGATCTGAACCCACATACGGAGAGAGATGTGAGTCGTCCAGTTGCAAGGTCCGGAACAACTGGTTGTACATCACGTCGACGGAACTCCCTTCGTCGACCAGGATGCGATGCACGTCAAAATTGGCCATCTTTGCCCTTATCAGCAAGGGGATGACTGCGTTCGGGGCTCCGCCGGGGAGCTCTTCTAGGTAGAAGGTGATGGGCTCTGACCTGCCCTTCACCCTTTCGAACGTCACAGTTTGTGGAGGAGCTGTGTCGACCAGTTCATCCAACTTCCTCTTGGCTGAATTGATGGTGAGGTCGTTGAACCCGCCCCCGCTGATGACCATGGCGGAGGGGAAGTATTCCCACCTGCTGTGTGTTGTCAGGGGCTCCTGCAGGAGCTCGGGAACGTCGAAATCCTCGGGCCTGGTTACCGAGAAGGCGGTCTGGATTGGTACCGACTCGTCTGATGGTCGGGCATCCTCTTCGGGCTCCTTAGCTTCATGGGCGTCACGACGGGGAGCGTCGTTTCGCCTGTACTGTGCGAGCCTCCCTCCTTTGATGAGGGTTTCAATGGCGTCCTTGAGGTGGACGCAGTCCTCTGTCAAATGGCCATGACTCCTATGGTATTGACAATATTTATTTTTGTCTGCCCCTGGCTTGGCGGGAGCAGGTCGGGGACGCTTGACGCCACCGTCTCTGAAATCTGTGCTAGCACACTCCGCCAAAATACGCTCGCGGGAAGCCGTGAGCGGAGTGTACTCAGTGAAACGGCCCGAGGGGCCCCTTTGTTCCCGGACCTCCCGGGGTCGATCTTCCTTCCTTTTCTCCCCGGTACGTCGGGGAGGAGGGTCTTGTCGCGAGCTGCTGCTATGATTGGGAGCGCGAGCCCTGGAGTCTCGTGCCCTGTTGGCAGCTTCTCTCTCCTCGTAGTCCATGTATGCTCGGGCTTTGTCGAGGAGAGCATCAAAAGTTGCAGGTGGTTCAATACCCACAGCTTTTCTGAATTCTGTACCGGGGAGGAGGCCCCTCTCCAGCAAATATCTTTTCATATGGTCCGCGCAGGGGACCTGTATTGCTTCCCGGTTGAAGCGGTTGATGAATTCCCTCAAGGTTTCATCCTGTCTTTGGATGATGGCCTCGAGGGCCGCCTCGGTCTTCGGGTGGCGCCGAGAAGCTGTGAAGGAACTGATGAACTGGTTCTTCAGGTTCCGCCACGAGGTAATTGAGCCCGGGGCGAGTCCTTTATACCAATCCATGGCCGCCTTCCTGAGAGTCGTGGGGAAGAGACGACACTTGATGGGCCCCCCGACATTATGATAGTGGAGCATGGCTTCGAACCCGTCAATGTGGTCGACTGGGTCTGCTACGCCGTCATACTCCTTCAGATGTGGGGGCTTCTCCATGCCCGGGGGGATAGGTGCATCCATGATGGCCTGCGACAGGGGACCGCGGGGGTCGTCCTCGTCGCTCCTCTCCGGAGAAAGAGAAGGGGTCCTGTAGTTATGTCTGGCACGATGATCGTGCTGAGATTCCCTCGAGCGTGATGCTCGGTGGTTGAAGGTCACACGCCCGTCTCCGGGGTGCCTCTTGTCGTGCCTTGATGGGTCGCGACTGGGTTCCCCGGCTGGAATAGCGGGCTGTCTCTCATAGTTGGGCCGCCTCTGCTTTGGTCGGGGAGAGGGGCTCCTGGAGTTCTCCCTGTAGTGTCTCCGCGGGGGAGAAGGGTTTCGAACTTCTTCGACCCGAGGAGGTGGAGAAGGTGGCCTCCGATGCCTCCTCGGGGGTCGTCGATCATTTTCAAGTGCCCTTAGTCTTTCTCCTTGGGCGAATATGAGATAATTTGTCTGGTTGATGGCCGCGAACAGTGCCTGAGTCGTGGCATCTGCCCCGGCAGGAACTGGGACTTCATAGAACCGGGCAGCTCTGTGATGGGCGAGAGCTACCGGGTCGTCCTCGAGTGCTGGAGGGGTCGTCGAGGATGACGCAGTATTCCCGTCCCTGTAGGTGGAAGGTCCAGGGGCGGTGGTCACAGGGATGGCAATATGGCCGGGATCACCGGGATTGTCGAGGTTTCCATTCTTGTCCGCGGGACCGTTATTAGTGTCGGCGACACGGACGGGCTGCTCGTCGCGAGCTGGATCAGCCATGACAGGTAGTTAGATTGAGCTTTGGTCCTTAGAATTGTTCGTTAGACGGGGAAGCTGCTTCCCACAGACGGCGCCACTGATCTGACCTGATCAGAAATGGACCGTCACGGCTGGCTCCGAGCAGAAAGCTTTTTGAACGAGGTGGGGGGGGGGGGGGGTACCTGCAAGGCACTCCGATGCTGAAGTAAGTAGGAGTACGAGCAGATAATAGTAAGTTGAGGTTAGAATGATGAATACCTGACCCTCTGGAAACAGAGGGTATTTATAGCCCCCAGCGCTGGGCCAAGGTTCCTTCATTGGGCCGGGCGAATTTGGTCCAATGGAGGAATTGCCAGGTTCTACGTGGGTAGTGGGGACCCGCACGTGGTCCCCTTCCTGGATGTTCTGCGTGAAGTGCGGGCGGACGAAGACGCGATCTTTCCGGAGTATCGTTGGGGGAACGGTGGACTGAGTCTGCCCTAGTTGGGATGCTCGAGACAACGTCGAGCTGGACAGCAGGGTGTCGAGCTGGACGTCAGGACGTGGAGCTGGACGGCAGGATGTCGAGCTGGACGTCAGGAGGTGGAGCTGGACATCATCACGTGGAGTTGGACAGCGGAATGTCGAGCTGGACATCAGGATGTCGGGCACGGATGTGACCCCTTTGCTCGGCGTGGTCCTCAGTAAGTCCCTTTGGACTGGGCCTTAGCAATGCTTTTGGGCCTGTCGGGCCCAGTCCAGAACAGTAATAAATATTTTCTCTTTAATCTGATAATTAATAAAAGGTTTAGGTTTGATCAAATGATAAATAAAAAATTTACATCATATTTCAAACTTGCTAGAGTATTAAAAAACATTTTTGCTATTGAATTCAAATTGAAAACTTTATAATTTATAATTATTCATGATGTTATACTGATTATTGTCACTTTATCTACCTATGAATGAACATAAAAAAAAAAAAAAAACATTTTCAAACCTATTTATGTACTATCTACCAGAAATTTTTACATTAAAAATCAGGTTCTTGTGAAAAGGGACATGAATGCTTATGCTTATTAAACTGTCCAACATAATTATATTAATAATTATTCTTAATACTTGTCCAACATTCAAACAAAATCCTGTTTTTTTCTCCTTAAAATCAAACTTAACCGGCTAAGATTAAAAATTCAACTTACATTTGTTACCAAAACAAAAACATCAAGAATTTAAATCCTATTGCATCATCAAATTAATTAATTCCGACAAGCCATTGATTCAACATAAATTTTAACCATAAAAAACCCAAAACTCAACTTAACAACAGTAAGTCAAGCTGCCATTTTCATAATTTGTCCAATCCCAAAAAAACTAAAAACCGACGTGTAAACTCAATTTCTGCCTCTTTATTCTGATACACCAAACCCACACGTTCTCCATGCTATACTATAGACAGTTTCACCTTTTCTAATATATTATTTAAAGCAATTTTAATGTTACATAAATATATATATTCAACGTTCCACAATATTAACTACACCTTTTAATATTAATTCAATACACTTTTTAAAGTTATTTCTTTTCACACAAATAGTTGAATCATGTTCATAAAATCCTTAGTTTCACTAAGTCAAGAGTATATATTATGTCCAATTCCAATGCACTTTCATATAACGTATAATATATAATATATAATAAAAAAAATAAGTGATACACTAATCATATAAATTAATTTTACACTATCAATTAATCATAATTTTATATTTTAAAATAAATTATATTTTAATTTTAAAATTCTTTTAATAACAAAATATATTATTAACTTTTTATTAAATACACTATCGCTACATATCAATTAAATTTATATATAATATATAATATAAAAACATGTTTTGTTTTTTTAGTGGACCGCATTTAACAACATATGGGTCGGTCATAAAAAACAGCTTTGAAATTGGAAAAAGGAACATGTTGAGATGAGTTGATACTATTACTCTGTCAACCCTATCTCTATTTCACTGGCCGTCCTTTATACTCCATTATCCATATACATCCAAATATTAGTATCTGGTCCAACCTAATTCAGGCTCGGTCGAGATTAATCTCTGCAATTACGAATAAAAAATTTTGATTTTTTTTATATAAAGGGGTGATAACAAATTTTTTTTAAGATTAGTATTTGCTCTTTTCTGATTTGGTTGGTCTAATTAGTCTAAAGCATTGTTGCGCGTGTTGAGTGATGGGTTTTAGATCTTTTTAAATAGCTCTCTTTAGTAGAAAACTGTTATTACAAAGTGCAAGAATAAAAGCTCACAAGATTTTGTTTGTGCTTTAAAACAAAAGAACACAAAACTCCTTCTCTGTCCTTTCTTGTGTTTTTATATGCTATTCACACCATGTGCCAGTTATCATCATCAACCTCTTCTGTCTCCACTTTGTGTGAAAATAATAACAACCAAACAAACATATCCACAACCAAACTCAAGAAACCTGACATGTTTACACCATTGATCCCTAAATCCCCAACATTCAAACAACAAGAAACCCACACAAAAAATACCCATTTTTCTCTTGCCATCAACGAAGCCAAACATATTTCAAACATAGCATTACCCATGGTTTTAACAGGCTTATTAATGTACTCTCGTTCCATCATCTCAATGCTGTTTCTCGGCCGTGTTGGCGAACTCGCTTTAGCAGGCGGATCACTTGCTATAGGGTTCGCCAACATAACCGGTTACTCCATTCTCTCTGGTCTTGCCATGGGAATGGAGCCTATTTGCGGTCAGGCTTTCGGTGCCAAAAGATTCAAACTCCTTGGTCTTACAATGCAAAGAACAACGATTCTTCTTCTAGTAACATCAATTTTCATTTCATTCTTATGGCTTAACATGAAGAGAATTCTGCTTTTATGTGGCCAACAAGAAGATATAGCAACCGTTGCGCAAACATACATTCTTTATTCTCTCCCTGATCTCGTAGCGCAATCATTTCTACACCCTTTGAGAATCTATCTTCGAAGCCAATCCATAACTCTTCCTTTAACATACAGTGCTACTCTCTCTATTCTTCTTCACCTTCCTATAAACTATTTTCTTGTTTCTGTCCTCAACTTAGGAATCAAAGGAATCGCGATAGGTTCCGTTTGGACGAATTTCAACCTCGTTGCTTCGTTGATTATTTACATTTGGGTCTCTGGAACACACAAGAGAACATGGAATGGCTTTTCATCTTCTTGTTTCAAAGGATGGAAATCGCTTTTGAATTTAGCGATTCCAAGCTGCATTTCGGTTTGTCTGGAATGGTGGTGGTACGAAATCATGATTTTAATTTGCGGTTTATTGATCAACCCACATGCAACTGTTGCATCTATGGGTGTTTTGATTCAAACAACTGCATTAATCTACATTTTTCCTTCTTCGTTGAGTTTCGGCGTTTCGACAAGAGTTGGTAATGAACTTGGTGCTGAAAATCCACAGAAAGCAAAACTTGCAGCAATAGTAGGACTCTGTTTTAGTTTTGTTTTGGGCTTTTCTGCTTTGTTGTTTGCATTTTCGGTTAGAAACATTTGGGCTTCAATGTTCACAAATGATCCACAAATCATTGCTTTAACATCAATGGTGTTACCTATCATAGGACTTTGCGAGCTCGGAAACTGTCCACAAACAACGGTTTGTGGCGTTTTGCGAGGGACTGCTCGCCCGAAGTTGGGCGCGAATATTAACTTAGGATGTTTTTATCTCGTGGGAATGCCTGTTGCGGTTTGGTTGAGTTTTGTTGCTGGATTTGATTTCAAAGGTTTGTGGTTTGGACTTTTGGCTGCTCAAGGTTCTTGTATGGTCACAATGTTGTTTGTTTTGTTTCGTACCAATTGGGAAAATCAAGTAGAAAGAGCCAAGGAGTTAACATCTTCGGACTCAAGCCAAGAAGAAGAAGAACAAGAGAAAGGATTTGTGAGTTCATGTGACACAAAAGAGTGTTCAAATTCGTTAGTTTGATTGAGGGTTCATTTTTTTATATTTTACGTTGAGGTTTAAATGATGAACAAATTCATTCTTTCTATAGAATTTTGTAGTAATTTTTTTATTGTAAACTAATTAAGGAGAAGTTAATGATGATTAGATTTGAGACTATAAATTTTTTTGTCAAGTTATATAGATTATGGGTGAAGAGTGATTAACCAACTTGAGTAATTAGAAAGACAGATGTACGAACATATTAAAATCTTAGGGATCAACAACATTAATTTTATATTATTTGAAAAAACTAGATTAACTAAGGTTTGTGTTTGAATAATCTAAAACTATCTTGTTGAAGGTTATACCTTATTTTCTTGTCGTTCTCTATGTTTTTGTATGGAGTGTGCCTCCAACGCTATAGTTAACTTAATACTTGGTCTCTCAATCCTATTGTTAGATAACATAGAACATTGTTCTCTACCTTGAATTAAGAATTGATAAGTTAAGAGACTTGAAAATGAGAGTCACTCCATTAAATATTACTACCTTAAACATTTTTCTTTATCTTAAATGTTAGCAATTGGAGTCATGTAATGCAATTGGACCTATATAAGGCCAACTCTATAATGAGAATGGAATTTTATCTCTTTTACTTTAATAAGTATTAACGATTCTACAAATGTACCTGGATGAATAAATACTTTTCACTTTACAGAGAACATATAAATGAATACACTCACACTTGAATGGGAGATTATTATGATATAATTATAAGTTAAAAGTTTTTCATTGTTTAATAAAGTGTAATATATACGTGAGAGGACCTATAAATTTAATTCTTTAAAGTTTTAAATGAAAATGTGACATTTGCCTTAATTATAAAGAATTTTGTCCATCTATTGCAAGATGGGATACTATTAGAACCATATTGTCCTTGGCTACAGGCAACAAATGATAAATATTTTAATTTTACTATGCTAAAATTGAATTTAGACAGCGCCACATAGACATCGCTTATGCCCTAAGCGCTGCTATAGGTTTTCAGTAAAAAAAAAATTAAAAAATTAGAGTAAGCGCTGCTAAAGGTATACTATAGACAACACTTATTATAAGCGCTACTATAGGCCTTACCATAGACAGCGCTTCCTTTCCCTAAGCGCTGCTATAGGTTTTCAGTAAAAAAAATAAGAAAAATTAGAATAAGCGCTGCTAAAGGTTATACTTTAGACAGCGCTTACTAAAAGCGCTGCTAAAGGTGTTATTCTAGGAAGCATTGCTAAAGCCTAAAGCGCTGCTAAAGGGTATACCTTAGACAACGCTTTCCAGAAGCGCTGCTAAAGGGTATACCTTAGACAACGCTTTCCAGAAGCGCTGCTAAAGGGTATACCTTAGACAACGCTTTCCAGAAGCGCTGCTAAAGGGTATACCTTAGACAACGCTTTCAAGAAGCGCTGCTAGAGGCATTACTCTAAAGCGCTGCTAAAGCCTAAAGCGCTGCTAAAGGTAATACCTTTAGCAGCGCTTCTTGAAAGCGCTGTCTAAGGTAATTAAATAGTTTCTAAATCCCTAAATTGGTTATCAGATTTCAAAAACCCCACTTTATACAAACAAAACCCCACACACCCAGAAAACGCTCCTGTTCATCTTCTTCTCCAACTCGTCTCCTCCCTCCTCACCGTCCAACCGTGGTTCATCTTCTTCTCCAACTCGCTTCCTGATTCGTTGTCTCGTTGCAAACTTCGGATTCTCCGGTTATACGAGGGCAAGGGCCAGAGGCACGTGAGGGTCCAGAAAGCTGTTGTTGGGAAACGGCTTACAACATCAGGAACACCACCATCTCCTCGTGAAGAAGAAGTTTCACAAAATCAGTTTCATCTAAGGTAAAATTTCTTCATCCTTTTCCGGTTTCACTATGGAAGCCTGTTAGTAATAAAACAGTTTCGAGTGTTTGAATGGTAGGAAACTGAATAGAGATTATGTTCATTGCTTTGATTTGGTTAATGGATATGAGAATCAAAGATTTGTTAAGTCTAAGAGTAAGAATGATTTTCTTGTTGATGATGTTTTGCAATTAGGAAATGGTGGGATTAGAATAGGTTTTGATATTGGAATTGGTTCGGGGTCTTTTAATGAGCTACTCAATCTATATTTTTTTCTATGGTTAACTCAATGTTGCATAAGTCAACACTTTCATCCTCTTCTAAAAAGACCAAGTTTTTATCCTCTCATGAGTTTATCCTTTGGTAGTTAATAAGTGAATTTTTATAAGATTATTCTTTGAAGAATAGCTTTCATGATTTCCATATCAATGTAATGAGATTGAATTTGAGAGACAACAGACAATAGTACACAATATACAAATGTACAAGTTATGTGTGACACACTAGTACAAGTCATGTGGTAAAATTCTTATTGTGAGTCCAAGGTTATGTAGAATTATCTTGCTCTATAGTACAATGGGCCATAATAAATCTTATCTCATCATTCAAAATCCTTCAATGGTATAATAAATGAAGCTACATATATTATTAAACACTCTCAGAATTACGCATAAATGGCTAAATTATTGTTAGCTTTTTAAGAAGACAAAGAGACAAAGTTATAGTCAGTTATTTTTGATTAAAAAATTTAAGGTGTAAGTCAATTGGACTATAATATGTCTTATTGAAATGGTATTCAATTGGATTATAATAAAAGTCTCTCAAATGTGAGAGGATTGGACATTACTTTGGATTATGGGGGTGATCATGGATAAGTTCCAAGTGTCTATCTCTCTTCCCTTATCTCTATATCTCCGACACTTTAGTTTAAATTGGATTTTATCTAAAATTTATAAATAAAAATATTAAACTCTAACACAACTCAAACCTCCCTCTTATTCTTATGTTTTTCTCTCCTTTAAGTCGATTTATATTTGGTTAGATGTTTGGTTTCATGAAGAGAGTAGTGTTCAGGTTAACACATCCTCTCTTACTTCTTCTCATTACTTAATAGTAAGTCATATCATTGATCTTGTAATAAGTAATTGATATACATTGTTGGCAGAAGGTGTATCTCTAGTTTCCCTTACATAACCTGCTGCTCTTAGTCAAGGGTTTTATGATGTATTTCTTTCGTATGGTAAATCATTTTAACGTGAAGTATTTGAAAAAAGAGGAATCCAGAACTTTGGGATGACAAACATGAACCTGTTGATGGAGTGATAGTTCGAACATAATGTATGCTTAGCTCATGTAGACATTCCTGCAAGGAACAAAGGAATCACATCATGTAAATCCTCCATCTAATAATAGTAAAAAATAACACAAATCATGAATCTTCGAATGAGTTCACAACTAAGCTAATGTCTCTAAAATTGTAACGTTGATGATCATTGATTGAATATGTTATAGGACCACAACAGTAACATGAACTAGGCCTCTAAGGTTGGACCACATTCGTGGCTATGCTCCTTTCACTCACACGTTACAATCCTCATTTCTAGAATTGTTCTAATCACATGTTTGATTTTTGTTGACAACACAGACTCTTTAAATTCATTGTACTCCCACCACATTGCTTATAATCCAAGTTAGTAATAATCAACACAAGAGGTTCACGTAACAATGACATATTCACTTGAATAATAAAATCCGTGTATACTTTGTGTTTTGGTAGAAACGCATTATACCGTATTGTGCCCTAATTAGTGTTTTTGTTTAACTTAGATAATAGTTAGAAGAGTACGATAATGGGGTATTAGAGTTCGTTAAGTTTGCTGTTGAACACGCTGAAGACCCGAATAGAATGAAATGTCCTTGCTTGGGTTGTTTTTATATGGGTCGGGTTGACGCAGATGGATTGAAATTGCATTTACTAATGCGCAGAATTGATCGAAGTTATACGTGTTGGATATTTCATGGTGAGAAAAGCATCGAGAATGTTGAACCGGGGGTGAAAAGTAATGCAACCTATGTTTCGTACGACAATGCCACGGATACATATGATTGTGATCGAGTTGAAGAGATTGCAGAAGTACTTGAAGAAGATCTTCAAGATTGTCCCAAAATGTTTGAGAGGTTGGTAAGCGATGCAGAAAAACCGTTGTATAAAGATTGCCCCAAATTCACAAGATTGTCTGCGGTATTAAAATTGTACAACTTAAAGGCGCGCAATGGATGGTCCGATAAAAGTTTCACACAATTATTAGCCCTTTTGAGAGATATGCTTCCTGAGGATAATGTTCTTCCTAATCGAACCTACGAGGCCAAAAAAATGTTGTGCTCTATTGGCATGAGCTATGATAAGATACATGCATGTCTAAATGATTGTATTTTGTTTCGAAACGAATATGCATCGTTGAATGAGTGCCCAAAGTGAAGTTTATCTCGATATAAGAAAAAATTATCTCCAGCGAAAAGTCTTATGGTATTTTCCTATTATTCCGAGATTTAGACGCATGTTTCGTAGTGAAACCGATGCTAGACAATTTACTTGGCATGCAAATGAAAGAATTATCGATGGAAAGTTTCGACATCCGGCAGATGCACCACAGTGGAAGAAAATTGATAATGATTATCCTGATTTTGGAGGAGAAACAAGAAACCTTCGCTTGGCATTATCTACGGATGGAATGAACCCGTATGGTCTTCAAAGTATCTCACATTCCACATGGCCTGTGATTCTTATGATTTATAACCTACCTCCATGGCTATGTATGAAGCGCAAGTACATGATGTTATCTATGTTAATTTCTGGGCCTAAATAACCAGGGAATGACATAGATGTATACTTGAAACCTTTAATAGAAGATTTGAAGATTTTGTGGGAGAACGGTGTGGAGGTTTATGATGGATATAGGAAAGAAAGTTTCAATTTGAGGGCGATGTTATTTGGCACAATTAACGATTTTCAAGCATATGGAAATCTATCCGGGTATAACATTAAAGGTGAAAAAGCGTGTCCTGTTTGTGAAGATGGAACCGATACGACACGATTGAAACTTTGTCAGAAGAATGTCTTTCTCGGTCATCGTAGATTCTTAAATTCAAAACATCAAT